GACTCGTGTCATAAAAATGATAAACCCGACTCGAGAAAAAATTCGAGTCGGGTCGAACAACCCGGGTCGACTCGACCAGCTCGGAGCACTAGACTGGACAAAATCCCAGCACTCTAAAAATCATATAAAAATTTAATGACTATGAACATAAAATTAGATAATATATTTACCAGCATAAATGTTCACATAATCTTTAGGTGTACAGTACCAGGAATAATCCTTTCTCTACGTCCCTGTAAAATTTCTATAGATAAACAAATGTCACGTTCTTCACCTTCAACATGAAAAGGTGGACGACCACTTGATAGTTCCCATAAAAGCACGCCAACACTGTAAACGTCACTCTTTTTGTTTAGTGTATATTGTATCGATGTTTTGTCATTTTTCCTTTCTCTAAGAAAACTTTTTGGATCAATATAAGGAATTACACCAAATAATTTTGTCTGATTAGTTGTCATTTCAATTCTTTTGGATAAACCAAAGTCTGCTAGTTTAATAACGCCTTGATGGATTAATATATTGCCTGAGTGCTATATATATAAAGAAAAAAAAATATTATTAATTATTAATTGAATAGAATTGTTCATAATAAATAAAATTAATCATAAAGATTACCAAATCACGATGTATAATTCCTTCGTCATGTAAACACGATACAGCACTAGCCAGCTGGAATGCCAAGTTATATTTATCTTCCCAAGCAAGCTTATCAAAATTAACCTTCAAATAATTTTTAAGCGCACCACCATCAGCATATTCCATTACTAACAAATAATTTTTCAATTGATCCTTTTGATTTTCTAAAATTTTTTTTTATATATACTGTATATATAAAGAAGTTAAAAATCAAATTTAAAAGTCAATATAAAAATAAAATTAATCTCATTATTTGAGATTCTAAACCTTGGTTCGATGATGTAATTCCCAAAAAGCGAATGATATTGCTATGAAAATCAACTTCCCGTTGAAGTTCAAGCTAGATTATTATAAAAACATATTTAGCTTGAAAATATAAATGATTTGTATTAAATGGACCAAAATAGACTGAAGCACATATTGTATATTAATTACCTCATGAACAAGCTTTTTAACAGTGGTATCGTTAAAATTATGAAATGATTTAAAGCTAGATGTGAACTTTTCCAATTTGCACGATATACTTTTCCAAAGCTGCCTTTACCAATCTCTTTAAAATTACTAAATTGTTTATATTCGTAGTATTTGATACTTTTTCTAGAGATGGATTCTTCAATCTAATTAATCCACTCATTAGAATCGTTCGAAGCTTGCATGTTAATTTAATAAGTTTTGTATATAGCGAAATGAATTGAAAAAAAAAATGAATGTGTAACGTTATAATTTCTAAGCCACGTATATTAGTGTATGAGAGATCTTTCTAAAATTAAAATTAAAGATACAATAAAAATTTTGCGATTTATAAATAATCAAAGTAGCCTAATAAATAATATTATTGAGTAAATATTTAATGAATTCCACTTCAGAATTTAGAAAGGAAGCAGGTAAAACTTTATATTTTCAGGACCTTATGAAATTTTCTATAATGAACAGCATGTAAATTTCTGCCTTAATCGCTAGTCGCTTCTCACCAAATTGTTGAATCAATGACACATACTAAAATATTGAGAATAAATTTGCTTCTATTTTAATGCATTTCCACAGTAAAAAAAGTGATAGATTAGATTTTATATACAGCAATTTTTTTAAATTTTTTTTATCGTGATTCCTTATATTCAATTTGAATCAAATTTTTTGACATACCTTCAAATATTTCATCATTCAGAAATATTTCATTAAAGAAATCAAAGTAATTTGGTTGGTGTTTGAACAAATTCCACGTAAAAATTGAAAGGTATGGTGATTGGTGATTCTAGTATGCATATTTGTTAATATTATGAAACTTTACTAAACTTAAAACATTTAAAAAATTTATTATAATTATTATCTGTATTCTTATTTAATACTTTATACGAATATAAAACATATATGCCCATGTTGTCGGATAATACCCAGTAGAGCGCGAAGTCTTTTAGCAGATTTGTTTGATTTCCAGACATACAAAAAAATGCTTTGAAATAATGAATTTTCGGTCGTACGATTGTTCAACGTTAAATTTATCACCTGAGCTTAATTTTTTAATAATCTAGGATCTCAAACGATTCTTGACCGAAATATTCCTTAAAAACAAAATCAAACTAAATATTAACTACCGCTTTCACAGTTGTATTCATATTGACAAGCTGTCATCTGAACTAAGTGGGTATGTTCCAAATCATGAAGTTCGAGGATTGTATCTAGCAAAATCATTATCGTACGTAAAGGACGGGTAAACAAAGTGTTTAGGATATAAACAGCGACATTGGTTTAGTTCATACTTTATTTAAGGTCAAAGGCATGGAGTTTGATGTGTTATAGTATATATATTTGCTTTAATTATTTACACGCACTTTTAAAGTATATTATGTAAATTGTTTTAAAGCACGCACTACATTGTATTTCCATACTAGTTTCTAAATCTATTGTTCCTATTTAAATAATTTCGTCTGTCTCACTCAATTATGTCCAGTTATAATCACTCAAATTAGTTTACAATGATTAGCTATTGATTAAAAATATTAGTTCAGCGTCTGTATTATTATAAATCATTATAGATAATAAAATTCTATTTAGGGTTCTATTTTATTATCAATTTGATCACGCTTATTAGTTTATTTACGTTGTACTATGGCTAAAAGTTATCTAAATATATATCTCATAAATACGCAATAACTATAATCACTTTCTAATCATATCAACATATCTACTGTATGTAACCGCGCAAATAATTATTATTTTCATTCTAGAAATTGTTTGTATGAAAAAAATTTGGTTAGAATATATTTATATATTTTTTTGAATAAAAATCATTAGAATAATTTTGCGTGCGTATATATCGTTTAAGATGTCTTAATTTATAAACAGAAAGGTTATCGTGAGATCAAATTATACTCTACAACCATCTTTTTTACTTCAACGTAATTCAACGACCGCCTTCGCCACCATCCTATATGTTTACAGCAAAAAAATGTACAGTTCTTGTACAGATGCATCCTTAAATCGTACAGTTATTATACAGTCATTTTATTACAAATGCATTGTCTTAGTGAGATAAACCTTTGATTTTGTATATTTTTTCTTATTTATTACAAAAGCCGATATAGCTTTTATTTTGTATTGTACCCTTATTTATTACAAATGCATTGTTTTAGCAAGATAAAACTTAATTATATTTCATATATAGAGTATTTTTTACATATTTTTTCATTAAAAATGATGATATGTAATTACAAGTATATACTGATATATAGAATTTAAAATTTTTCTTAGTTTCACTAACCTAGAATTTTTCACTAATTAAATTATCATCAGGTGAAGGTTACTTGAATAATAGAATATTCATCTTTTTTTTTTGAAAAATTTTTAGAATACGTACCAAGAGAGAAAAAGTTTACAAAAGTAAAATTTTATTTCAATTTTTACAGAAATAAGTGGATAAAAAGATTATTTTATGAACAAATGAATGAATAATTCAAAATAGAAAACAGTTTTAATGGAATGGATATTATTAAGCAAAAATTTTTTAGCTAAATTGAAAATTATAAATGATATTTAGTTAAATTATGTAGAATTAATTGACTTAAAAAAAAACTACAAATCAATAGCTCATTTTTTAATGTAGTATAAAGAAACTTTATTTTTAGTTTTATTTATTATGTTATGTATAAAAGTTTATATTATTTAGAAGGCAAATAATTAGAAATGTTTTATTGAATAAATTTAAAAATATATGAGAAAAAAAAAACAAAGAAACATAGAAAAACTAAAATAATAACAATTTGGCCTAGAAAAAGAGAAAGCAAGATTATGTAAATTATTAGTCACAACAAATAAAAAAGGAAAGTTTTTTATTTTTTCAGTTGGTTTTGGGTTCGATCGCAATAGGCCGCAGCTATCGAACATTTCGCCTTTTAGATGATTGTTCTTTTTTTTTCTTTTGATCATCCTTTAAGCCTAAATCGCTTCAGGAAGCGTTACGTAAGGCGATATTTCCTTCTTTTATTTATGGGTTTAATCGCTTCAAGCTGCAGTGGTCGTTAATTAAGCTTTGCCTTTCATAGTTAATTTTTTTAAAGGAGCTATTTTCACATCACTATCTATATTGTGATATGAAAATTTCTTTAAACAGTGGATTTTCCTGAATTAGAAAGATATTCGATATATACATTTTTTGTATTTTAATGCTACTTTTAACCTGTTTATAAAATAGGCTAATTCTTGTACCGTACACAACTTTCAATTATTATTCCGATTAAAGATGAATGTTTATTGTTACAATAAAATAATAAAGGAAAATCGTTGGTGGGAAATTTGAAATCGGGCTTAGTGATAACCACGTGATTTGTTGATATAAAAGGTGCTGCAAATGATCCAACTCAAAATGTAATTTTTTTTTCAAGATGCAAATTTATGGTCTTTGTTTTGTGATTGAAAACGAAGTAAAGCCGATTCCTTTACAACATGTAGTCGTTAAAGCTAATAGTAAGTTCGTGCTGATAAATCAGTATTATGTTCCAATTAATTAATAAATTTAACATTCCCCTTTTTAGTCGTTGATATGATCACCGAAGGTTCGTGATTTGGCGTAGTAATGATTGAAATTGTAATGTAAATCTTATAACGTAGCTAAGTTTTTCCTTTTATATAGTTACTATCAACCAGACTTATAAAAATATTGAAAAGGATACCATTGAAGCTCTTTATAAGTTTCCTATTTATGAAGCCGCGGCCGTCTGCGGATTTGAAGCGGAAATTGATGGACAAAGAAAAGTAAAGGGTATCGTTAAAGAAGCAAAAGAGGCCGCTAAAGAATACACAGATTCAATTCAGGTAATTTCAATGACCCATTTTCAATTGTTATTCTTGCGTGTATAAGATGAAATGAAAATTTACATAATATTATTTAATTGATTAGCAAGGACATGGTGCTTATTTGTTAGAATCCGAGTCAGAAGACATATTTCAATGTTCTGTTGGAAATATCGCATCTGGTCAGACTGTAGTCTTAAAGATTACATATGTTACCGAACTTAAACATGATTCTGAAACCGAAAAAATTCGTTTTGTTCTTCCAACTCACATCGCACCAAGATATGGTTCATCATCATCATCATCACATGATGGGAAAATACTTGAGGCTGATGTTGTATCATATTCTAATAAAGTTGATTATTATCTTGATCTTAAAGTTACCTGTAGAATGACTTCAATTATTCAAAATATTGAATCACCTTCACATAAGATTTCTACTGAAATGAATATCGATGAAAACCCTAAAATCTCTAAAATTACATTGGCCGAACAGATTACTTATTTGGAAAAAGATTTCATACTTGTGGTTAAGAGCAAAGATCTTGATCAACCTCGGTAAATATTTTACGCAATATTTTTTTTAAAAAAAAAAAATTTCTTAATCATTTTTTTTAAAAAAAATTCTTTCAGAGCTTTCATTGAATATAATCCCGAAACAGAAACCAATTGTGTTATGTTAACTTTGGTTCCGAAATTCGCTTTAAATACAACCATGGCTGAGTTAGTTTTCGTTGTTGATAGGTAACGTTAAACAAATATATATATATTTTTTTTAAAATAATAATAATAATAATAATAATAATAATAATAATAATAATAAATTTTTCTGACATTTTTTTTGATAAAGATCAGGATCAATGAGCGTCGAACCTATGAAAAAGGCTGCGCAGGCACTTGAATTATTATTACGTTCGCTTCCAGAAGATTGTTACTTTAATGTGGTATCTTTTGGATCTCGTCACGATTCTCTTTTTCCAAAAAGTCAACTTTATTCCGAAACTTCATTATCTCAGGCTATCGAGCTTGCTCAATCAATGACCTCAAATTATGGTGGAACGGAAATTTTTGGAGTATTAAAATGGGTATTTGAGAATTCAAGAGATGACATGCCCGCTTCTGTATTTCTCATTACAGATGGGCAAGTTTATAATGTTGAACAAGTTGTAGAACTTATACGTGAAAAGGAAGAAAAAAAGAAGGATGATTTGCGACTTTTTTCATTGGGAATTGGTGATTCTGTTTCTCATAATTTAGTCGAATCTGTTGCTCGTGCCGGTAAAGGATATGCCCAATTTGTAACAAATAATGAAAGGATGGATAAAAAAGTTATTGGAATGTTGAAGAATTCATTAAAACCACCGATCAAAGATTATAAAATTACTTGGACTGACGTTGATTTCTCGGAATCAACCGAAAAAGAAGTTACTTCGATGGTGGAAGATAAGCCTATCATTAGCTTATATAGCGACAAAACGGAACCTCCGCCATCACCTCCAAGTAATATCTTTACAGATATAAAGGTTCAACAAGCTCCGTACTCAATTCCACCTATTTATCCTGGTGTACGCTTCGTTGTATATTGCATTTTGGAGAAAGATATTGAACCGCGTCAAGTTATCACTTTAGATGCCACTTCTCAGGATGGTCCTATGAAACTTGATATTTCTTTGGATCCCGTTACTTTGCAAGGGTTAAAGATCCATAGATTAGCAGCAAGAAAACTTATTCAAGATCTTGATGATGGAAATTCATTTCTTCATAAACATCCTAAAAATTCTGGTAAACATATTCCGGCTTCATTGGTTAAAGATCATATTGTTAATCTTGGTAAAACTTTTAACCTTGCTTCAAAACATACAAGGTACATATACTATATTATATCATAAGTGTATACATTTCTTTCTTATAGAGTTATTATTACTTCATTTTGTAGTTTTATTGCGATTGACGAAAGAAATAATGAAATTGTATCTGAATCTCAGACAATCTCACAGATAAGACTAGTTCCTGTTCCTTTTCAATTGAATTCAATGCGATCTGCGACACAAAAGTCTAGAAGGAGAAGGTCTTTTGTGTTTAAAGCTATGTCAGGTTAGTAAAAAAAAAAAGAATAGCATATTTTAAGATAAAATAATTTATTTAATATTATTCGTTATTTTACCATTTACTGTAACATATTCAGAAGCATCAGTCGAAGCAGATGAAGCATGTGAATTTTCAGCGCCGATGAAAAGAATGTCATTAAGAACCTCATCAAGAAGTCTAGCAAAAAAGTCAATGAAGATTTCAATAAGGTTAGAAATAAATTTTCACGTGTTATATATGCGATTGAAAATTATGTTCATCATTATTTTTTTAATTAGTGAGGCTGACAAACGAACAATTGTAGTCGAACATAGAGAACCACATACTGAAAATCTATATGAATTTTTAAGTCTACAATCATTTGATGGTAAATTCTTGCCTAATGCATCATTTTATAATTTTTTTTATAAAAATAATGTAAATGATTTTTTTGATTTAATACGAGAAATCAAGGGAGCAGATGATATTGAAGAATTGGAAGAAATATTAACTACTTGTATTGCTATAGCTTATCTTGAAGTTGTTTTGTTTGAAAAATTTAAAGATGAATTTGAAATGTGTTATGAAAAGGCCAAAAATGCTTTAAAGAAAATGGTTGGAGATGAAAATAAAGAAAAGATTATTATTCATAAAGCTAATGAATGGATTAAAAATTGGGTGGGTGAAAAGAAAGAAAAGTTTATGGTTGATAAAGCTAGAGAATAGATTAATAGTTTGTTTGGATAAATAACGTAATATATGCAGTTTGATAGTTATATATAATGTTTTATTATAAATCTTGAACATTTTATATCATGTAATAACAAAATTTATATAATATATTATAACAATAAATATAATTCATAAATTAGCTAAGTTTTTTTATAATTTGAATAAAAATACTTTTTTTAAATGATAACATTCAGAAATCCTTATAAGAACTTGAAAAGTATGTTAAAAACGCGTGAAAGGATCTTCCGCCAGAATATTACAAAAAATTGATCAAAAGTATGCCTTAGAGAATTAAGGTGGTTATTGCCGCAAATGGAAATAGTATTAATTAATTATTAATAATTTAATTTTTTTATGTAAAAATTAATAAATAAAGATAAGATAAATATATTTATCTTAAATTTTAATTTTTAATATATAATACATATAAAGTTTTTATGTTTTAAATAGTGGACGGATAATTTTGATTGCCCTCTGTATGTTGTCTTTTAAAGTTCTTGCTGGCTATTACTGATTTGGGAGTAGCCGATTCTTCATTCCATTCTTAAACACTAATGGAGATATCTGGATTCATCTCCTCAATTTTATTAAAAATACGTGAACAGATTGGTGTTGGAATTGGGATACCATTCAGCTTGACAATATCTAAGTAGGGTTTGGGCTTCTTTGCTTAGAAAATTCTTTTAGGATGCTCAGTATGTCTATCCTGATCTGCAAAATAGCAACCTAATGCATCTCGGATACATTCTTCAGATAATTTATTTGTTTTTGGATCGATCAACCCCATATTATCAGGATTGATAGTAAACTTAATATTAGCAAGCTTTTTAGGTGTATGAATGTAAGACCCTCCTGTACCTCGATGGAGAGTATATACTTCAATAGATATTTTAAGAATTCGTTTAAGAACATAACTAGATCCTTTTGTTAACATTTCTTCAATCTCTTTATCTACTTCTCTAATAGTTTGAGTTATATGCTCATCTATATTCTCTTCTGAAAGGATTGGACGCATTTCTTCTCTATGGTGATTATTTACGTATATTGAATAGCTTGTGCTATCTGGGTTTCTATTAGTAATCAAATACAGGCATAATACTACTATAGCTGATTTTATTTAGTCTTTTCTTCGAAGCTCTGTTTGGAGAACTTCTGTTATTTTTGGACAAATTAGTCCTATAAGTTGAGGCATGTATGGCATTTTTTTATATTCTTCTGAATTACTTATTGGTTGAATAAAAGCATATTCAGGATTATTTTTTTGATATGGTACTTTTCCTACCCATTTACTCATTGAAGAGCGATTTCTATGCAGCATTTCTAGATCTCTTCCAACTGAATATTCTTCAAAGTGGATATCCTCCACTTGAATAAAAACCTCAGAAGTTGAGACTATCTCTTTCTTTTGCCCTTCTCTGTGAGCTTGGGTTGCTAGGCCATGACCTACTTTAGAATCTTCTTTTGGCACATTATATTTTTCTAACTCTTTTAAAGTTAGTAGGCAAATTGCATCTGGATCATATTGTTTGAAATAATGATAAAGAGTTAAACATTCATCTAAGCTTACTGGTATTTCATGATCTCCTAAATTGAGTTCTTTCCACTTTTGAACCAATCTTTTTCCCATGTTTTATATTGTTTACCAGGCTTTCATACATTTAAGCTGATCCAGTTTTTTGCCTCCTCTTCTGTGATATAATCATCACCAAGTACTGGAGCTTCCTTTTGAGATTCAATCTCAGAAACTGGAGTTTGAATTACCATTTGTGAATCTGAAATTAGGTTAACTACTTTTGGCTTCTCTTTTCTTCGATTCTTTCCTTTAGTATGGATTACTTTAGCTGGAGCAGAGCTTGGAAAACGAGGTCTAGAAATTGGTTGTTGCTCAGGAGATTTTAGATGAACTGGTTTTAGCTTGCATTTAAACTTTCTTTTAAGATAAGCTATTAGATCACAAGTCTTTTTAAAATCATCTTTACCACATCGTAGGTATTGTGGTATCATTTTAGATATATGTGTATACTTTCAGTTATTTGTATTAATATTACAAAATCTTTTTTTAAAATAAATTATTTATTTATTTCAAATATACCTAGTCTGAAAAATCTACACCTAGCACCTTTTACATCTAAGGTGAGACTTCTTCGTCCTAATATTTGTGTAAATAGAAATAGAATAGTTTCCTGTATATCAAGAAATTAATGTTATGCTTGATCTATATTCTGAATACAGGAAAAATTTACACTAAATCCAGATACAAAGGAGAAGGTGAAATTTTGAGGTAAGACTTAATTATGTTTACTCTACAGGTGAGACTTAGAGGTGAAACCATGTACATTGTTACTGTGGAATTTTTCAACTCAGGGTGGTCACGTTATCAAGTCTCTACTTAAAATTTTTAACTGCGATCTATTGCAGTTAAGACGTTAAGATCTGCCTAACTCTTAACTTTACTAAATTTATGCGTTAGACTTAAACAAATCTATCAAGTATGAAAACTTGAAAAATGAGATTATGAACAATTTAATTAAAGAATTCGGATGATGAACTCAATTACAAATAATGTGTAAGGATCACGTCAGACTATATAAAGACATGAAGAAGCAGAAAGATATAAGTTTTGAATGATTCCTTTATTAATATTAAAACTCGTACTCGCAAAAGAGTTTACAAATCTGCAAAAGAGTTCTTAAATTTATAAAAATTTCTTTTGTCACAGCTAACTAATTACTATGCTATAAATTAACTAATTTAGTAAAATAAAATATAAGTAAAATAAATATACTGAGAATAATAAAAATACGTAAAATAATAAAAATATAAATATAATAAAAATAACAATAAAATTTAGGATATTAAAAATAAATATAAACACTAAATATTCTTAGACTTCATTTAATTTGTAAAATTAGGATTATCATCCGTATTTGAAAGATCTTTAAAATTACGTAGATCTTCTGTATTTTTAGAATTCGTAGAATTCTCAGTATTTTTAGAATTCTAGTTTAAGAGATCTTTATACTGTGTCATCCATGTAATTTCATTATGATTGGTCAATTACTCCGTTGATAATCCTTTCCCTACTTGTATTTCAAACGTCGTAGTGAGAAATAATTTCATCCTCAAAATCAAGTTCTGGATTTTAATTTATTTGCAAAAAGAATTTGCAGAATGCACGCCATATTCATGCGTAATCTATTAAAGGGAAGCATGTCATATTCATGCTATTTGCAATCAACCTTATAAACATAGGTTTTTCTAATATTATATAGGGTTAAAATTTATTAACTTCTGTACTTATGGGACTCAAAATTCTACATAAATAGTTCAATTTTGAATGATTTTCTAATTGAGGTTTTGTAATAAATTATTTTTCTTAAATATGACTTTACGTATACTGATTGAATTATTCGAAGTCTAAAATTTTTTTAATAAAATTCTACAAAAAAAAAAACAATGCCTTCTAATAATCGTTCACAAAATGATGTTCAAAAGAAAGCTGAACGTATGAAAACTTTCCGTTCGCAATAAAGAAATAAAGTTCACCAATAGTTTGCAACCTTGTAAACTTAAGCACAAGAAGAAGAAAGAAAGAGATTGCTTATGGCAGACAGACTGGCATATCTTGTAGCTGATCAAAATATTCGCAAAGAACCATTGTGACAAAGGATAAATACTTTGAAAACTGAAAACCTTCATCAAAAAGAGATATTTTTGGAGCAGTGGTTGTTTTATAAAGAATTGTGAGAAGGTCAGATGTTAACTTCAATTAGGTGGTCTGGGTGGTAGTTTGGATTTTTATTTTTACTTGATCTTTTCCTTAGAATTTTTCTTTGCTGGTGATTCGCTGGGTTGAACTGGTAGTAGTTTCAGGTGGGATTGTCTCATATAAGGAAAACAGTTACACAATTTATTAAAAAATTTTTTTATACAGTATAAAGTAATTTTTCAGGGGTCTTACATTAGCATATTCTTGCAATGAATCGTGGGTAAATAAATTAGACAAACTTGAAGCTTTTGCACCATATTGTAATAATAACTGTTGAATTCACTTGAATCCAACAACTTTTATAACATGATTGACCCGATAAAAATATGTCTAAAAAGAAGTCTTGTACAGAATGTAAAACAACTGAGTCAACTAGATTTCACATGTTGAAAGGAAATAAATGGAAAGAAGTTGAAAATAATAACTTGGAGAAAGCAACATAGATGGAAGGTATTATTCTATGTAATATTTGTTATATGAATTTTATAGAAAACCCTTTAAAAAGAGGATTTAAGAGAGCAAGAACTATGACTGAAGAAGTTATGGGTGAAGCTGTAAACGAAAATGCCACAGATAAAGAAGAGATAAGCACGAAGATTGATCTTACTAAAGCCATCAAAGCGATGGCAAAAATCTTTTATGAAAGAGAGCATTTGAGGAATGAAGGTCCTATATATGAATTTGATAAAATGCGGAGATTGCTTTAGGAAATTGAACCAAGCTTGAAAGATTTTTTGACCAACTTTATTTAGCAGCTCGGCCACTTGAACGCAACGAACAAACAATGGGCCGTATGAAAAATTTAATAGTGTTCATTTGTTACCTTCTTGCTTCTTTAAATAATACGAAAATTAATTCTTTCAAATTTGATCTTGCATTCTATTTAGATTCAGTAGGTACAAGTAATGAAGGCTTGAATACAATGGTGAATCTTAAAGTGACTACGACATCAAGATCGGTAGATCGTAAGAATAAAGAAATTTCAGATTCGCATGGGAAATACGTAGAAAATGCTATTGCGAAATATTCAGAACAGGCTTTTGTGTTGAATATTAATGATTATCATAATATTCAAGTTCAACGGCAACCCGACACAACTAGTACATCTTGGGCAGCACATATGGTAACAATCGTAATGAATCCTTGTCTCATGTTAGTGATATCACGTGATGGGGCATTTAATCCAAAAATCATCGACGATGAGCTGATTATGAAGCATCTTGAT